TGGATCCACCGCTGGGATTGACGGTGGAGAGAAGACGGAGGATGCAACAGTTGATGCAGATGGTGATTAGGTGATTGTGGACGAGGCAACATATGCGATTGTGGACGAGGCAACATATGCGATGGAGGTTAGGTGATGATACAGTTGATGCAGATGGAGAGAAGATGGAGGCAACATATGCGATTGTGGACGAGGCAGAAGATACCAATAGGTGCAGAAAGGTGAACGAGAGGGTGCAAAAGAAGAATGGAATCGAGGGAGAAGCTAATATATCGCATTCCCCAGTTCATCATCATCTAACAGAAGTATTAACGGAAACTTGACGGTTGGCTAATATCTCGCATTCTCAAAGGTTTAGCTAATTTTTAGAATCCGTGAAATGTTTGGCTAAAAAATAGTATTTACTTAGATCATAATTAAGAAATAATAAATAATAAATTATTCTTTTTGAGTGTCATGTCACCATATTCTTTCTATGTCAACATCACATCCGCCCGCTCATCATCATCTAACCCTAACGGAAGTATTAACAAACATTTAACTATTGACACATATTTCATATACTTAAAATTTAAGTAATATTTTAGAATCCGTAAAAGATTTGAGAAAAAATAGTATTTTAAAAAAAAAACTATAGTTTTTTTTGGTACTATAGTTTGATACTACCCGAGTAGTGAAAAAAGATTTGAGAAAAAAACTATTATAGTTTGATACTACCCGAGTAGTGAACTTCAGTAGAAGTCATTTCTCACCCCTCGAGAGCATTCAAAAAATATCAATGCGAAGCCCAATGAGTATTATAAGCTACAACTGTCGTGGTTTGAGAAACACCACGACAGTGAAGAGAGTAGCAGCTACTCAAGGAAAAGGATCCCGATATAGTCTTCCTAATGGAGACTAAGAAGCAAGAGGGGGAATGGGAAGCAGTGATGGAGGAAATGGGGTGGGAGTATGGAAAAGGGGTTGGATCTAGGAGGAGAGCAGGAGGCTTACTACTAATGTGGAAGGAAGAGGTCAAAATAACAGTAAAAGACTATGATCACAACTATATCGATGTAGTTGTGAATGAGCACGACCCATCAAAAGCCTGGAGACTTACAGGACTCTATGGGTGGCCAAAGCAAGGGAACAAAAGATTGACCCGGGAATTGATGAGAAGGCTCAGGGGAAGTAGTGATTTGCCATGGCTAATGATCGGAGATTTTCACCAAGTTCTGGGGAAAGAAGAAAAGAATGGAGTGAGGCAGCCAGATGAACATAGTATGGAGGAGTTTAGTGAAGCGCTAGACGAATGTGGTTTAGAGGAGCTGGGATACAATGGAAATATATTCACTTGGGACAATGGAAGGGAAAATGACGGTTTTGTGGAAGAAAGGTTGGATAGAATGGTGGCAAACTCTGCTTGGAAGGAAAATTTTAAAGAAGCGCAAGTTTACCATTTAAACAGGTGGGTATCAGACCATCTCCTAATCCGGTTGCAGCTGTACCTTGAGGAAAAACGGATCAAATGGGGATGACACTTTCGATTTGAAGCATTTTGGCAAAAGCATGAGGAATGCTCACTACTAATTAAGCAAGAGTGGCAAAAGGATGAAGGCAGGGGATTGGAAGAACGGATAAAAGCTTGTGAAGCTCAACTTATAAAGTGGAGTGATGATACCTTCGGGGACATAAGGAGAAGAAGGAAGAAGACTGAAAAACTGTTAGAGAAGATAGCAAAGCAAAAAAAGAACAAAGCAGTGATTCTCCAAAGGAAAGTTCTTGAAAGGGAGCTGAATGATTTACTTCAGCAGGAGGAAACACTATGGAAGCAAAGATCCAGGAATGATTGGCTTAAAGAAGGGGATCAGAATACATGTTTTTTTCACAGAAAAGCAACATTAAGACAGAAGAGAAATACCATTTATGAGCTTAAGGATGAAGAAAGGGGGGGGGGGGGGTCTATAAAGGACAGGTAGCAGTCTCACAGTGTGTGGTTGACTATCTAAAGCATCTATTCCTGGCAGGACCATAGGCAGATTCACAGTATGTGCTCGATGCAATTCCAACAAAAGTCACTGAAGAAATGAATAGGGAACTTCTCAAACCTGTCACATAGGAGGAAGTGTGGCTGGCTTTGAAGTTTATGGCACCTACAAAAGCGCCTGGAGTTGATGGCCTTCCAGCATTTTTCTTCCAGAAGAACCGGTCAACAGTAGCCCCCCTGGTAGTGGCTGAAATACAAAGATTTTTCCAGGAAAGGGTTATACCACAGGAAATTGACTCGACTCTACTGTCACTCCAGGAATTGGCCAAGTGAAACCACTTCCTAAAGCGTAGTATAGCGGGTTTGGGTTTAATTATCAACCCGGGTCCTAGATGTGATGACTACTCAGTGAATTCTTGTTATCTAGCAATGAGACTGGCATGCAAGTCTAACCTATCAAACTAACAAAGCAAGTAAACTGTTGTATTCAGGTTAAAGAGGTCACCCGGATATGGTTCCCCTAGACTGCAGTTAAGCCGGATTGTAATTACCAAGTTCAGTTTCTATGACAGTTATACTGCGGAAGGTTCTTAAACAGCCTGAAGTCTCGACTAAAGGTCTTCAGACCCTCTCAATCTGACTCTCTAGCGGGCGACTAACCTCCACCGGAGTAGACAGATTGAGGCCCTAAGAACAAAACCTCCACTACCGGAGTAAATCCGGTACAGAATAGTGAGTTGGCTCCTCGACTAAAGTCACCAACTCCCTACCTTCAATCAAGGATACTCTATTAACCTAGGCAGATATTCTCATTCTAGGTCAAAGCAGAAACAACAGGAATTTGATCATGATTCAAGTCATTCAATCATTAAAACCTCAATCGAATATAATCAATCATAGAATCAGTACTTGGGTTCATACAATCAAAGCCTAACATACAAATCTAGGGTTCTCCATACCCAGATGAATGGGAGAACTACTCCATGGAGAAGAAAGCAAAAGCAGAATCAGACACGGAATTCATACTGCGAAGGATGGATTCCTGCTTCTGGACGTTGATTGGCACTTCTCCAAGCTCAAGCTGGCCTCCAATGGTGTTGAAGATCAATCTAGGGCACTTGGGAACTCTTGCTCGTCACTTTTTCTCTCTAGAAGTCGTTCTTTCTCTCAAAAACTCGAATCCCCTTGAATTGTGGCTGAAAATCTGCTTAAAAGCATCAGTGGCCAAAGCACGGTCGAGGGCACGGCCGTGCTTTGCCTGACTCCGCCCGTGTCTCGGCCAGGGCTTAATTACACGGCCAGCAAGTGGGTTAAACACGTCCGTGCTTTGGTGGAACACGGCCGTGCTACGGTGCCCGTGTTTGCAGCTGAATTGGCCAAACTGAATTTGCTCTCGGCATAAAAAGCACGGCCAGCAGTACACGGCCGTGTAATGCCTTGGGTCTGCCCGTGTTTTGGCTCCAGCTCACCGAAATGACTTCCGAATGCCCCGAAACTCGCGGTTAGCCTTCCCTTTAACGCCTGGGACCTGAAACATGACAAAATAGCACAACCCGGCGTAAAATAGGCCAAAACACACGACTATACCCCTCAAACGGATGAGAACTAGGGGCGCAAACATGTGCAATTACATCGTTATCAGAAATCAATGCAACGTTGATAGCTCTTATTCCCAAGGTTAAGAAACCAGAAAGTCCAAAAGAATTCAGGCCAATAAACTTATGTCGGGTAATCTATAAAATCTTCTCAAATCTACTAGCATACAGATTGAGGAGTGTACTGAATGTGGTGATTCATGAGAATCAAAGTGCTTTTGTGCGCGGCAGGTACATTACAGACAACATTATGTTGGCATTGGAGTGTTTCCATGCCATGAAGAATAGGAAGGAGGGGAAGAAGGGTTTTGTGGCAGCTAAGCTAGACAAAGCTAAAGCATATGATCGGGTGGAATGGAGTTTTTTGAAAGGAGTAATGGAAAAAATGGGTTTTGCTCAAGACTGGATTACTCTTATGATGCAATGTGTGACTAGTGAACGGCCACCAATCTGAGGTTATCCATCCTACAAGAGGAATTAGGCAGGGAGATCCAATCTCCCCCTACCTTTTCCTATTATGTGCAGAAGGACTATCCTGTTTAACAAAGAAAGCGGTTCAAGAAGGAAAGATTCATGGAATCAAGGTCAGTAAGGATGCACTGATGTAACTCACTTGCTATTTGCAGACGATAGCATCTTCTTCGTTGAGAATAAAAAGCAGGATGGAGAAACCTTGAGGTGGATTTTGAAAACTTATGAGGAAGAATCTGGCCAACAGGTGAGTTTAGTAAAGTCTGAGTTGACTTTCATCACTAATGTTGATGAAGCTCAGAGGGAAGAAATGGCGCAGCTGATGGGGATGAAACATGTTTTACAACATGATAAGTATTTAGGCCTGCCTACAGTTATTAGAAGATAAAAAAAGGCTGTGTTCACCCAGCTCATTGATAAAGTAAGGAAAACAGTGAAGTTGTGGAAAAGAAAGGCTTTATCAAATGCAGCTAAGGAAGTTTTAATAAAAGCTATCGCTCAAGCACAAGCAATGTATGCAATGTCGGTCTTCCTAATCCCTCAAGGGGTTCAAGAAATCCATAGCATTATCTCTGGTTTTTGGTGGGGAAGTAAGACTGGGGAACGACGAATACATTGGATGAAATGGGATAATTTGTGCAAGCCAAAGAAGGAAGGGGGAATGGGATTTCGGGATTTACATGGTTTCAACTTAGCTTTGCTAGGCAGACAGGTATGGAACTTGATGCATCACCCAGATTCTTTGATTGCTAGGGTTCTCAAAGCTAAGTACTACCCCTACCCGAATATATTAGAAGTTGAACTGGGAAATAACCCCAGTTATGTGTGGAGAAGTATTATGGCGGCTCAGGGATTGGTAAAGGAAGGAACTAGATAGAGGGTGGGTGATGGTCAGAGTATACGCATCTGGTGGGATAGATGGATACCAGAAGCGGATAATTATAAAGTTCAGACTACAGCAACGAGCCTAGGAATGAATGCAAGAGTAGCGGATTTGATTGATGCTCCTAGTCGAACTTGGCGAAGTATCTACTACAACAACACTTCCAGCCTATTGACAGGGAACGAATTAAAGCCATACCTATCCTAGCAAGACCTAGAGCAGATAGTTGGTGTTGGGGGAAGAGCAAAACAGGACTCTACACAGTCAAAACCGCATATCACTATTGGAGAGTGAAAAGGATGAATGGGAGTCCAGAACAATATGAACCAATCGATTGGTCCAGATTGTGGCACTTGCAACTGCCCCCAAAGGTAAGGGTGTTTGTATGGAGATGGGGCTCTAACATATTACCTACAGGCGGCAACCTAGCTAAGCGCATCCCAGAAGTAAGTGATGAATGCCCCTTTTGTGGACTAGTAGAAACCCAGGAGCATATAACCAGAGATTGTGACTGGGCGGGCAGAATATGGAGGCCTAGCTACCTAAACAAACTGTTCAGCATGGGGGAAGATCAGAATTGTGTGAGCTGGATTTGTGAATTACTTGATCAAGCAAAGGACGAAGAAATCTGTGAATTCTTGATTACGGTGTGGTTCATTTGGAAAGAAAGGAACAATCACCAATTCAATAATCGAAAGTTGGAGGAGTGGGAGGTGGTGGAGAGAGCTCAACTTTACCTGGAAGAATACCGGCGAGCTCAAGATCGGGATCTGCAGCCGGCGAGGTCGAATCGGAGATACAAGTGGGAAAAGCCGACGATGGGATACAAGGCGAATGTTGATGCCAGTGTGCTGAAAAATGGGGGAACTGGAGTCGGAATGGTGGTTCGCGATAAGGAGAGGAAATTTGTGATGGCAGTTGTACGAAGGACTCGGGTCACCTGGCAGCCTGAGATAGCGGAAGCATAGGCATTGTTGTGGGGATTGAAACTCATACAGCAGCACCAATTGTACCCAGCAATGATGGAAACGGATTGCCTAAGTCTGATCTACAAATTGCAGGGGAAGGAGGAGATTAATCTGGAAATAGGTACACTGCGTGGAGAGATAAGGGAGAAGGCTCAGGGCAAGGAGATTCAGTGGCGTTTTTGGGGCTGGGAAGGAAATGAATCAGCCCACCAAATGGCCCGAGTCAATTGTAGATGGGAAGAAATCGAGGTCTGGTTTGACCGGCCACCAATTTTCCTTTTACCTCAATTGTTGAAGGACTGTAATGCTTATGCAACACATGATTAAATAAAAAGCATATAGGCATTATTTATATAAAAAAAATATCAATGCGAAAAGGGTTAAAAAATAAAAGAAGCAGCCAGTCGACTGACAGGGCACGTTCAAAATCTGCTCAGCCCTAAACCTGTTCGACGTTTTTAATCAACAAAATTTCCCTCACTCACTCACTGACCGACCGACTGGTGCGGCAACTGGCAAGTAAATATTTTGGAGAGACAAACAACACCACACTTTAACCTCTGCTCAACACACTGCTGTCCCTCTGCTGTGCTGCTCAGGCATTAACTATAAACAACTCCCTCATCTTGATCAGAGAGCAGCAAGTGGTCTGTGTGTTATGACAAGCCACACCTTTATTTTGCTGCTTTTCAAGAAATCCAGAGACAAAGATCCCCCAATCCAACCCAACCCAACCCAACCCATTCCAACCTTTATAATTTTTTTATGAACCTACCAAACTGGTCATACCACACTGAATCCCACTTCTGAATCACCATCGCCTACACCCACCATTATACGCAAAGATTCACCCCATCTGTCTATTCGCGATTTTTATTAAATCAATTCGAATCAAACTTTACTAGACACCGATTTGAACATGAACGAAGTTTGTTGAACCGCGGATATAGTAACGTGAGCTTAAATCAAAACAATGATGAAAATGAACCCTGCTTTTAACTTGCAATGCACCACACATTGATCAAACAACTTTATTATTGCACAAAACCTAAGTAACATCGTAGCTTCACCCATCAAGTTAATTAACTAACGCAACTAACAACATCATAATTAATCATCTACCATCTAATACCTAAAAACCATCTTCAGGTTGACCACCTTGGAGCTGCTGCTGCTGCTGGTGGCGGTGCTGATGTGGACGGCGTAGGGTGAAGAAGGGACGAAGAAGTCGCCCAAAGCTGTGCAGTCTTAACCTTGGAGATGCTTGCCAGTACGCCCAGAGGGGTCACCTTCCCTTTCACGATCACCTGCTTCGTCGCTAAATCGATGCTGAACGACGTCACTCCTGTATCAAGTTCACAAAATAAGATAATACGTTCAAACTCGTGATTAAAAACACGAAAAATTGATCTCACGTATAACGCGCGACTAGACGATTTTGACTACATTATATCGCTCTTGGTGTAGACTTTTCCGATATGTAAAATGTATGATACTGACCTAACGGGGAAAGAGCGATTTTTTTTCCTTCGTTTCGGTAAGCCGTTACGATACGATACCACAAAGCAATGGGACCAATCCAACAACAACAATATCATTTATTGATATGATAGGGGTGTGCAAATGCAACTATCGTAACGTACTGGTGGCTCAACCAACCTAACCCAAATTCAATGTAACGATCTCGACAGTTCTTTCTTTGGGCTCCCAAAATTTTGTCTCTTTTCCTCTCGTCCCCCTCCAAGTTTCCATTTGTGGGTAACGTTTAGCAGTACTATATCGCTACCAGCCAACTGAAATATGCTAATGTGTATTTGCTGGTGGAAGGAAACCATCAAAATTCCATGTATGTGTACTCTTGCTGAGTGGGTGAATTCTGTTTCTACGTACTTACCTTCCATTTTGGAGATATGTTTCCTCACTTTCCCTTCGCAACCCTTGCAATGGATCGAAACCCTCAAAACCACCACCTGCAATTTAATAAGCGAAAATGAGAATAAGAAGGAAAAAAAATTTTAATGAGGTACGAGTTTCATCAATCTCCTTAATTGCTCTGTTTCTGCTCTGTATTCTTTTTGCTGCTTACCTGGTCATGTGAGCGAGCGGAGGAAGATGATTTCAGAACCGGAGGACAGTCCTGGAAGCTTACACGCCGAGGTGTCCTGGCTTGCGCCGGAGCAACAGCGGAGACGACGTGTTTATCTGACGTTATCTCATCGCTCGATTCGCTGCGATTCGATTTCGAGTGCCGAGTAGTAGCAACAACCATACCGGGAAAACGACCCGAATCGGAAAAAACAGGGTCGTCGAAGCGAGCCAGCTCGGAAACAGAGGAATGGCGATGTCCACGTTCGGTAACGGGGACATCGCCGCCGATGGAGGCCGTCTCCTTCGGCCGATTCGGCCACAGTTGATTGCGATCGGAATTAGGAACCGGAGCAGAGTCGGAAACCCAATCGGGCGGCGCGCCGGTTCGATCGTCGCTGCTGAGGAGATGAGTAGAAGAACCTAAGCGGATGTGCTGCTGCCGGCGGCGGAGCTGGAGAAGGAGATCGCGGGGGTCGGCGGAGGAGCTCCTCCTGCGGGAATCGAAAGGGGTGCTCTGTTTTTTACTGTCTGAAACAGAGGAAGGGTGTTTGTACAAGTCGGAGAGCACGACGGAGGTGCTCCGCCGCTGCTTGTTGGGATTGACGGGGAAGAATTCGTGAGAAGAGCAGGTCCCGAAAATGGGCTGCTTAGACGAAGTGGCGGTGGAGTGGCGGACCATGGAGCGGTGGTCGAGGCTGGAGCAGATGGCAGTGGAAGAAGGGGAGCTGCAGAGGAACTCCATTCTCTTCATCTTTGTGAGAGTAACGGTGAAATGGGTCTTGTGGATGAAGAGAGAGAGAGAGAGAGAGAGAGAGAGAGAGAGAGAGAGAGAGAGCACTGAAGGAGGAGTGAGTAAATGGGGATAGTGAGATTTTGAAGGGTAGAGATGCAGAGTAAAGAGGGTGCGTGGAAGGTTTGATATAAAGGGGGAAGTTTTGGGGAAGGGGAAATGGAACCCACAAAGGGAAAGGAGGGAAAAGATGAATGATTATGATTTATGAATGGCAGTGGGGTTGGGAGGAAGGTGTGTGTGATTAATCTGGATTCTTGGCCTTTGACAGGGGAGGACTGAGGAGGACCAGGTGTGTCTAGTTAAACTCAGTGGTAAATGCAGAGTTTGAAAGGGCGGGTGTACAATAAAACAGAGGGGACGGAAATGGAGGGTTCTGCTGCAAATGGGTAGGCTTGGGAAGGGATCAATAGGTAGAATTTAAACTATGGGTGTTGCATGCTATCAAATTAGTCCTATTAGGGGTGGCAAACGGTTAGTCGGTAATCGGTTTATCGTTTTATCGAATCGGTAACCGACGGTAATTGGTAAACCGATTATCGGCGGTATCAATAGTCGAGTGAGGAGGGGGCGTTCGGTATACCGGCCCCAATTACAGTAAATATCGACGGTAAGTCGGTATAGCGATACCGGGGGACCAGTACACTCCATTTTGCCTAGCGCCTAGCAACCCCTAACCCTAAAAACGAAATTAGGGATTTCGTTTCGTCTTCGGCCCTCTCCTTCTCCGCTTCTCGTGTATGACTCTCGACCGACGAGGCGACGACCAGGCAGCCTCCAAACTCCAAAACCCAGGCCAGATAAAGACCGTCAGAGACGACGACGGCTCGTCCTTCCCTCCGCGGCTCGACATCTGTTTTCTTCTTCCTTGTCGATTACCGGCGGTATCGGTAGTCGATTGAGGAAGGGGGCGTTCGATATACTGGCCCCAATTGCGGTAAATACAGATGGTAAGTCAGTAATACCGATACCGAGGGACTAGTACACTGTGTTTTGCGTAGCGGCCAGCAACCCCAAACCCTAAAAACGAAATTAGGGATTTCGTTTAGTCTTTGGCCCTCTCCTTCTCCCCTTCTCATGTCTGACTCTCGACCGACGAGGCGACGACCAGGCAGCCCCCAAACTCCGAAACCCAGGCCAGAAAGAGACCGTCAAAGGCGACGACGGCTCGTCCTTCCCTCCGCGACTCGACATCTGTTTCCTCCTTCCCTGTCTATCGCGTGCCTCCACTGTCTGTCGGTCGTCGATCTGCTCTGCGACGTCGAAGCCGCACTCGCTGTCCCTCTGCAGCCAGTGCCGCCCTCGCCACCTCCTCCCTGTGCCTCTTCAGCCTCTCCCTTCACTCCGCCACCGCCCCCTCACTAGCAGATCCCGCCGCCTTCCTTCTGCAGCAGCAGCACCGAACGGATCCCGCCACCCACTACCCAGAATTTTGATTCGATAATTTCCTGATAAACTGAACCGAAAACGTGTTGTGACCTATCCTCGCGGTAAATCGGTAAAATCGGTTTGTAACCGTTTACAGGCCATTCGGTAACCGATAAACCGGATACAAACCAGTAATGGTATTCGATCTCTCCCCCTCCATGCTCGACATACTATTTACCGGGTCGGTCGGTAACCGGTTTACACCCCTAAGTCCTATTACCGACCGATTGTCACCCCTAAGTCCTATTGAGATGTCACGATGAAATCTGATTAATTGAATCGTTTTAAAACTCTATCTGGTGAAGGAATCTAATGTATTATTATTCCAATTGAGCTTAAATTTTGAAGGAGAGAGGTTAATAATTTCATCCAGCAGCCATTTTTCAATATTTTCTTAAGGTAGCCAGAATATGAGTTTAGTGAACTCATTACAAATAAATTATATATAATATTATATTCAATTATAAAGTCCATTCTCTTTAACATATCCAATAAAGTAGGTATTCATTAAATTATCAATTATTCATTGTAATTCATAATTGTAAAGTGACATTTTGATTGCCAGTTAAGATGCCCATTAGTTTTACAAGCAAAACAACTAACACATATAGACATACTATAAAATGCATTTATGACCAAAGAAATTGTATCTTAAATAAGACAAATGTGTTAGATTCAAAGGTCTTTGTAGTTTTGCGAGAGTCATTTATATAGATAGATAGATAGATAGATAGAAGGAGAAATATTTATGTTACGGGTTGTAAAATTGAGGACTTTCAATGTCATCGATCTAATTGATATAGTATTATTTATTTATGTATATCATCATATCGATGAGTTGAATTGAATTTTGTAGGAATGGAGTCTTGAGTTATCAAACAACTCATACTAAACTGGTACCTACATAAATAAATATATAACCCTATTTATATTTCCACCCTCCACCTCCCTACGCTACTCGTTAAGATTTAAGATATGAATACACACATTATAATTTGAGATCAGAATTGAGAAGGTCTAACCCTCTTTAACTATAAGTAGTATAATAATATATGCTAGGTCCGGGTTTGGGATGAATGGATGAAATGGGAAGGGAGTGGAGTGTTAAAGGACATGCTTTATCTATCTATGAATGATGATTACTACCACTACTAACCCCAAAGCTAAATAATTATGTAGGTGGAGGAACAATTGTTGAAACCCATACCACACTATAACATCTCTCTCTCATTATTATTGAGATATCATTAGGCAGCCACTCCTTCATGGGAGGAAGGAACCATCATCTACTCCTTGACTTGCCCTCCTTAACTAGTAGCTTCTTATTACTTATTAATATTTTCTCAATTCATTTGATATTTAGCCATACTGTTGATGCTATAAAACATGTTCAGGAGGAGGCTAATGTTTTTTTTTTTTTTTTCATCAAATGGATGCAACTGTATCATATCTTTCATTGAAAATCACCCGAAATTAGAAAAATTCTTGAATATCATAGTTAATCTAGTTATCCCACATATAATCATCCAAAAGAAAAGAGTGACCACCTAAAGAAACAGAATAAGATTGATTGACAAGAAAATCTGCACACTTATTTCCTTCCCGGATAATGGAGCCGTCCAACTGCATATGAGCGGAACATCGATCACCGTTACTATTGATTTGTTTTTTGTGTGTGGAAAAGTAAAGTTGCTGATGATGCTGGGTCACGAGTTTCCCGGCAGCCCAATAGTATGATTGTCCCAAAGGAAAGAAGTCTTGGTCCGGGCCGCTTCTTCCACTCGATTTCCGCCTGGAAAGCTTCCTCAATTTCATGCTTCATTCATTACTGCTGTTTGCCTTAATTGATTTGTTCCAAAAACAAATAAATATGTTTGTTCCAAAAAAAATAAATACAATTTAATATCCAAACTTTTCATTTTAAACAATATAATAGCCAAACCTTTTCGAAAACAATCTAATATCCAAATCGTCAACTTTCCGTCCGTTTGACTGTTGGTTGACACTTCAAAATGCTTTGTTTAGGGGAAATTGTCACAATACAACTTTGTTTTCTTGTTTTGGCATTGCAGATGACTGAATATTTAGATATTCTATACCATCATGGTGGAGTCATGGTCTTCTTGGGTTTGGAACCACGATATGTTGGTGGTTTTTTAGAGAAGATATCGATGGATATTGATGAAGCGTCGTACTTCGAACTTTTTGTAAGTGTTAAATAACGGTCAAACGAACGGAAAGTTGACGATTTGGATATTAGATTGTTTTCGAAAAGGTTTGGCTATTATATTGTTTAAAATGAAAGGTTTAGATATTAAATTGTATTTACCCAAAAAAAATGGAAAGGATATGGTTTCAAAACTCTTATCTACAGAATTACAAAATTCTATTCATGGCCATCCATTTTAATTGGATTTAGTAGCTCAAAATAATATGATAATATATGTATTAAAATTTATCATAAACTAACAAATCCCAATAACTCGAGTTGTTGGGACCAACTAATTTTTGGCATAGTATCAAAAACTAGTTTGGTTTTATATTCGGTATTATTTGGACATCAGAACAGTAGGATTTATATATAAATAAGTGCATAACAAATGTACTATTTCACTTTTGATTAATAAAACCGATGATATTTCCCTTAACTGTAAAGATTACTCTTGATTAATGGTACGCATGTCAATCGATTTTCATGAAAACCACTCCCTGTATTTGATTAGCTAGAAGATCAGCTTCATGAAAACCATGCAATCAATTTTCAAACCCAATCCAAACAGACGCTTATATTCTAGTAGTAGCTAGGACTAGTGCCGTCGGAGAAATAACATAATCGGCGGCTGCAGTTGGAGTAGGTCCAACTCCTTTTTCTGACACTCCGAGTGAGCAAATGTGTAACCAACAAGCTAGGTTGAAACTTGTGAATTTGTTTCAGTGTATATATATATAAGAGATATTTTCAAATAATATATCTAGTCGAGCCCATTGAGGCATGCAACATGCATTTGCATGCTTTGTCTGGTGGTGTCATCAAACCAGAAGCAGAAGCAGAAGCAGTAGTTTTCTATCCATTCTAATGTTCAACGGTGGGTGGGATCCGCCGGGGGGAAGACGGAAGATGTTTCATCAAAACTTCTTCTTCCTTTTTTTTTTAATTATTAGAGTGTGATACGTGTTGAAATCGTATGAGTGAATGGATCCCTTTTCTTGGCGGGATTGAACCAGTTTTCTCCTTTCTTGGCGAGAAAAGACCTGGAGGTTTCTTTGCTAAAATTCTCCTCCTCTATTATTCCAATTACCCTCATTTAAATACATCAAGGATGAAACTTAAAATCCTATCAAGGTGGAACTATCTTCCCTCCCTAACTACTGCCAAATCGTGCTCCACTTAATGGGGAAGATTGGCTTATTGACTCAACTACTAACTACTGTTCCTACACTAGTGGCAAGACTCTTTCAATATAACAAACTCAATCCATCCAATCCCAGAAGCTACTCCTACGTCTACAACGGCAAGCTTGATCTGTGATGGGCTACTCATAGTCATGATAACGAGAGTTGGGCCGGGACGTACGAGTAGAACGACGGATGGACCGAACTAGAGCCCACCAATTCGTGCCCCATCATTACCACCCCCTGAAAAATGGCCTTGTCCTCAAGGCCGAACTTAATGAAGCGATCATCAAAATTGGACGCCAACTTGCAGAACAATATCATTGATGAAATGTGACCGTCCAAAACCCGATTCCATCCTCGAACCATAGCAGGCAGTTGGATCGATCCATACGTCAACCCAGATAGCTGAACGGACTTGCCCATCACCCCTTTCAGCTCGTTGATCCCTTTTAGCTCGTTCATATGTTCCTCAAACGACACCATTCGCTTGCTCACAACCGTCACCCATGACTGGCGCTTTCTATACCGCTTCCAGTTTCTTCCCGAGGTCCTCTCTGCGATCACCGTACCGTAGGGGGTCCTGTAGTTTGGTTTATTGGAATTTTCAGCTGAGGTTCATCAACGCCGGTGGGAGCAAGAAAGAGTCGATCTCCATAATAAACACAATGACAGCTGTATAATCAGCCTCCTGCTTCCACTTGTAGTTCTTTCCGTCGATGCCTTCATAACAATAGCCGTAATCGATGGTGCAAGCCATGGCTTCTTTACTCTTTTGGGATTCCAGTTTTCCTTTTTGAAGCGGATTCTCATCCCGCTTCTTTACGATCGGAGCTGCTTGACCCTTTTTCCTTCTCTTCCACCAATTTAGACAGTGGCCATCAACACCAAACATTCCTAGATAAGTCTCACGTTTCTTTCTAAATCTCCAAGGGTTTATTTGACCCAATATTCTTCTGCCTCTATTGTAAATAACACATTTGGTGGTTATTCTGATACCCAGTGATAGGACGTACCCATTTATTTGTCGTGGGCGACCCTTAACCAACAAAGTTTGCAGCTTTCCCACATGACGATGCTTTACGTCGAGGCTTGGTGAAAAAGGAGCGGTTATGGCTGCTGGTTCAAGTGGTGATTCCAGCTCAATGACAATCGATGGCAGGTCTGCTGTGTGCACAGGAGATGCGATCGGCGAACTCACTAAGTTTTCAATCTGCGGTGGCAGTGGAGCAATGTCAACAGCAACAACAGCGGTAGGCATCGACAGTAGTGGAGCGATGACCAGTGGTGCAACGAGACTTGGTTGTGGAGTGATCTTCGCGGCTTCCATGGCGGTGAGGGTTTTGAATTGCAGCGGCAGTGGTTGGGGGACACTAGTCGGCGCGGCAAGAGGGAACGACGACAACGGCTGTACAGGCTTTGCGCCAACAGCAAATTCTTACTCGTCCTCTACAAACTCGACTAGAGCTTCAGCTTGCGACGGTGGCGGTGCGGGTGCTACAGGTGGGATGGCAATCTCCGCCTTTTCAATGGCGGCCAGGGTCTCAACTCCCAGCGGCGTTGGTGTTGTTGCTGACATGTGTTTGTCATATGAAGCAATCATCTTGCCGCTGGTAGCGATGACACTGTCTAGCATTTGGATTGCCTGATTGATGAGTTCCTCCCTTGACGGTCTCTCTGAGCTTATCGTGATCGGAACCCGGATCAACGGCTCTGATACCAAATGATACGTGTTGAAATCGTATGAGTGAATGGATCCCTTTTCTTGGCGGGATTGAACCAGTTTTCTCCTTTCTTAGCGAGAAAAGACCAGGGGGTTTCTTTGCTAAAATTCTCCTCCTCTATTATTCCAATTACCCTCATTTAAATACATCAAGGATGAAACTTAAAATCCTATTAAGGTGGAACTATCTTCCCTCCCTAACTACTGCCAAATCGTGCTCCACTTAATGGGGAAGATTGGCTTATTGACTCAACTACTAACTACTGTTCCTACACTAGTGGCAAGACTCTTTCAACATAACAAACTCAATCCATCCAATCCCAGAAGCTACTCCTACGTCTACAACGGCAAGCTTGATCGGTGATGGGCTACTCATAGTCATGATAACGAGAGTTGGGCCGGGGCGTATGAGTAGAACGACGGATGGTCCGAACTAGAGCCCACCAATTCGTGCCCCATCAGAGTGCTGCATCATAGTTGTTTCGATCCTTTTCCAAAGGAAAAAAGTTGTTTCGATCTTGAGTAGAAAAGAAGGAACCTCATAAGCCGATGAATAATGGGTTTGCTTATTTACTATATCGTGATCAAGTTGAACAACAAACGCAGAAAACGCTAGACGTAAAGCGAGCGTTGGACTCGTTGATTACTCTTAAGCATATACATACATACACTAATGCAGCAGCAACTGACGACTATTCTTTCGGCGGATTACTTTGAATGCGTTTAGTCAAAAGTAGAGTAAACATGCTTAGCTAGATTGCTTCTCTGGTTTTATTCATTTATTTCAACGCCGGCGGGGCCAATGCAATTAGATACCACCGGGAGAAACGGAGATATGCTTGCTTACCTTTAATTACAATACATATAATATTATCGAGAGACAGAAACAATAAGTATTTTGGGACAAAGCCAATCCATATGACAAAAGGACTAAAGCAAGGTTTATTGTTGGCTCTGTTTCATTGGAGGAAGTTTCGTCAGGGGAAAAGAAGATGGATTAGGAATATGGTTCTGCCGTCATAGTGGACAACGCGCCGCATGGAATTTGAAAGCAGATCAAAGAATGAATTAACTCACTCTTCATATCCCTAAACACCTTTTTCTTGTCATCATCATGACTGTATTCATCTGCACTGTTGCTGCCATGTTAGTACTGATCTCGTGACCTTCTTCTGATAAGTCACATAAGATGGCGAGCCAAGAAACCTCTTTCGAGCGATACCTGCTTACATTTTTGGTAACAACACCAGCTAGCTGATCTCAAGTATGCAAATGGCACAACTTAGAAAGCTTGTTTTAACTGTTATCACAATTGATAGTAATCGGAGTAGGGATGGATACACAGTACATCTCTTCAAGCATCAGGCACTGTACCGTCACAGACGAGACGAGCTAAGCCCCGAAAGTTCCAAACTGCTCTCCGATAACAGGGGGGGGAAACTAACCTGAAAAAGAGATGTTCCAAAGTGATCACGAGTCAGCAGCTCTGGCCTCGCCAGTTTTACTCACTAGACAATCCAACTTGTTCAAAACTAAGAAACATGGATACAGTATCATCCTTTGTAGATTTTGCGACGAACACGACAAACTATTGCACGCAACATTTGTACACCAAAAAGAAGCTTCATCACACAGGACAGACACAAAGACCAACTGGAACTTCAAGTACCCTTCAACCGAATTGAACTAAGCCGCTGGAGAGCTATCTAGTAGCTCAGATGAGGGTTAATCTTGAGGAGAGTTGCATCCCCATCTGTGTTATGCTAGATAGTTTCTCGTAAAGTCTGCATAATTGCATGTACTTTTGCATTCAATACTTCCAATTCATCCCATGACAGTAAGCTGAGATTCTGAAACAACTGTCTTGTGAATGTCAGAGATGCTGATTATGTTTGTATTCCAAAACATGGCCCTGAAGGTCATCTAAAGACTAGATTCTCTTATGATCAGCTCCAACTATATAAGGAAGAAGACATCTTTCGTCCATGTTGGATGAGAAGGTTCTGTAAAAATGCAGAGATGCACCAAGACAAGTACGTATGAAGCTCCCCGGGCCACTGCTGAAAGTTTTACAGGTAAATTGGCTAGCTTTCAGATGCGAGAAAGTAATTTCTAGAACTGCAGGGGCGGATACCTTGGTAAACTAGCAGCAAGATCAGTTAGAAAATAGAGGTAACCAGATCATTGATAATTGGATGTAAGAGTAGCTTGGGATGCCAACTGCTATGACCTTCAGATCTGATCGAAAGACTTGTCAAAGAGGCTTCTTGTAGAGAAAATAAGTACGATGTACCCTGTCAATGCTCCTTATCACCATCCATGTTGATCGCCTATCTTTAGGTACATGTCAATCAAATCAAAATGCACTGCAGAAACAGCTTGCCTCTGATATATATCCCAGTTTACATGACCTCGTCAATCATGATGAAACCTGCATCGCTTTCATCCATGGCATAGAATTAGGAAACAAAGTCGAGCGGTCATGGACTGCCAAAGAAAACACTTCGCATGAAAGAGCATAAAAAGCTTTCCCGTGTATTCTTCCTTAATCACTGTTGACGCCTGATATGAGCTCGTTCACAAGTACACCAGCTTTTTCATCACTCTCACAATAATCCTTGATCAGACATTCCCAGCTATCCAACTCCAGCCCTAATTTTCTATTCTGCATCTCCTCTAAAACAAAGCCAGCGCCTTCAAAATTTCCAGACTTGAGCAAGCCGCCAACCAGGCAACTAAATGTTTCAGTACGAGGAGAATGCCTACTAGCTAACATTCCAGTTAAGACTTTCAGACCTCCCTCAAAATCTCCATGGCGGCAAAACCCATCAACTAACATCCTATAAGTTGCTGCATTAGCTTCGCAACCTCCAATTTGCATTTCAAACAAGACTTTGTAAGCCTCCGTCAGTCTGCCCTCTTTACACAGATAATTTACCAATATGTTATATGTGACAACATCTGGCTTAAATCGCCTCTTCTTCATTTCAAGAAGCAAAGATTTTGCCTCCTCAATCTTCCCTCGCTTTCCAAGATCATTCATCAAAATACCAAAGTTCAACACTTTCGGTTTACATCCTCGATATTCCATATCAAACATCACCTTTTTGGCCTCCTTATATTCCCCCAAGCTGCATAATCCCTCCATCAACAACGCATAAGTTACTTCGTTTGGGGGCTTACCCTTCTTGATCATGTCGTCAAAAAAGTCCCGTGCCTTACCAATTTCACCCTTCCTGCACAAATACCCAATCAGACTGTTATAAGTCACAACAGTGGGTTCAACTTTTCTCTCAAGCATTTCATCGAACACCTGGCGGGCTTGATCCCAGTCCCCTCTACCCAGCCACCCCTTGATCATAATGTTAAATGGGACCGAATTCCGTCGAATGCCCATCTTACTGGACCTACCAAACAACTGCTTCGCGTCCATTAAACGATCGTTGTCTACCAGAACGTTTAGCAGAGCGTTAAATGACTGGGACGTCCGCTCACAGTTGAACTGAGGCATTCTATCAAACAGCTCGACTGCCTTATCTACCGAATTGGCTTTCCCGTAATGCCCAAAAAGAGCAACGAAAAGGTTCTCTCCACACCGAAGGTTTTTTGCTTGTACTTGACCCAGAACGCCCTCAACAGCTTCAAAATCGCCAGAACGAGCGAGCTTGTAGATGAGAGCAGAATACGAAGGGTAGTCGTGTCTAAATCCTTCCCGTCGGTATTCCTGAAAGAGAGCCAAGGCGTCTTCTGAGTCTTGGGTTTCTTTCACATTAGTGACAAATGGTATGTTTCTGCGATGCCGTCGCTGACGCGAATGGTGAGGGTTTTCATCCCTGGGTTTGGCTTTGGGTTTCGGAGACTGGAAAGTTGCATACAATCTAAGGCGCCTGGAACCGAAGTAGACCTTGAGTTTGATGGTTTTGGATATTGGGAGTATCATAGGTTCTGATTTTGATTCAGACAACAGAAGAAGTATTGAGGCTGCCGTCTTCTATTCGTCTATTGCCAAGGCCATTGCCACCAGTACCCGGAACCTTGATGTTTTTTTTTTTTTTTGACGGGTACCCGGAACCTTGATGTTGATAGTGGCCTGATGGGTTTTTCTAACCTCTCGAGTCTCGACCATCATAATTTTGGAATTATCGTAAGGGGATTGCTATTCGTCGCCCTAAATTAACTTATTCGTCGCCCTAAATCTTATTAAATTTACACAAATAGCCTTATTTTTAATTTTCCGCGAGTATTGGACACAGAAACGGAGCGGCGCCGAGGATTTGCTTACCTTTCTTCTTCACTTCAATCGACCAGCTACGTCCGAGATCTGCCTCCCCTCCTTCTCCGCAGCACCAGACCAACACTGCCCGGGATTTGCCTCTTCTCCTTCCTCCTGCACAAGAGCGACAACTATTGGAGAATTATATGGAGGAACGAAGAATTGGTTAATATATGAACAGATTAGTCTGATCATGAACCAAGTTGTCCTTCCATTTAATTTGAATTAACCATCCACATGATTTATTGGAAAAGAAAGGTCCAATTAATGGTCCCGTGATTAATTGTTCAATTTGAATGAACAAAGACAATTCCTTAAACTTGGCATGTGCCTCCATCAATGGTTGCATGCATAAATGGAGCAGGTGGCGGGGATTGAATTCGGCGACAGCAGCAGCGACCGTCCTCCTCCGCCTAGCAACAGCAACACCGCCAGTTCTGGGTTTTGGCAAGAATGGGAGGCGGCGGATTTTGGTTGCCGAGAGAAGGCTCTAGGGTTTAGGTTTGTTTTGGGGTAGGGGTATACATGTCATTTCAGTGTAGTTTAGGGCGACAAAAATTGAATTTTAGGGCGACGAATAGCAATTCAGTTACTTAAATAGTTAAATTGGCTAATTATACATTTGATCACCTAAATTATACAAATCTTTCACATTTGCCACCCGAATTATTTTTCTTTCTTATTCTTCATTAACTTTACAAATCGTTTCATCATTAGTCACTGACCGTTACACTCCATTAAATTTGTCTCATGGGGCAATCAACTATAAAATTTGACCGTTAACTAGATGACATGAAAATTAAAAAAATAATATTTTTATTTTATTTTTCCACCTCATCATTCCACTCACTTTGTTTAGGTGATTTATCATATTAATCATAAATTAGTAAATTACAAATATTAATTATCAGAATGCACGACAAACTGCTCTGCTAAATCGATGGAGAGACCCGAATGGTCGTTGTCCACCGATCGATGATCTTCTCCTCCCTCGTCTCCAAGCTCGCCAAGCTCTATGGCGTCCCTACAGTTACCGTCAAGTACAAGCTCCCCTCGACCATCTTCTTCTTTTCATCCACCAGTGTACAACTTTGCAGATCCTACATCGACTCCGGTTGGCTCTCGGTCTGCTTGTCGTTATTCTCCCCGGGAATTTCAGCTTGATCGGGAGAATCGGACTCCGAATCGTCGTGGGAGTTGTCTACAGCTTCAATTGTAGCTGGTGATTCTAGGGATTCGTGATTTTGAACTCCTGAATCGATGATTTAATCGACGAACTCTTGCAACGCAATGGCCTTCTTGATGACTCGCTTCCTGAAACCCCTGACGTCGGGGTCCAAGCCAGGGCCGGATTTCCACCGCAAATCAGATCCATGGTATCTGAGATCCTGATTTCCACCGCGTTTAATGAAGCTCTTTCTTAGCCCTGTAATACTTTTGAAGCTCTTTCTCACCATGAATCCCCTAAACACCTTCTGGATCATCTTCGCGGCCGAGTCCGATCTGCGGAGCAGCAGATCCGAAGACCTCAGTGGAGTTGGAGAAGAGGAGTCGATTAAGTGGACTGGGACCGACACCACCTTTCACGCGGCGGTGTGGGAGAAGGAGAAGACGCGGTGCGGTAGTAGTATAGACACAGGTAATTCCATCGATTACCATAGAACGAAATGGATTTGTTACAAGTATTGTGGAGTTAATTTTTTGCTTTGACATGGGGAGGAATTCCGAGTAGGGATGGCAATTATAGCCGTAACCTTGGGTATCCGACCCTACCCAACCCGGTCAACGAGGGGAATCCCCGCATTGACTGGGTATGGGGTGGATACGGGTAATACCCGCAAAGAATCTTGTGGGGATGGGGCGGGGATGGATTTGAGTGCCCCCGCCCCATACCCATACCCATATCCGTCCCATCATTGCTTATGTCTTATATTTTTAAAGGCTAAATGACAAGTTTGGTCACTCAAATTATACAAATATTTCACGTTTGCCACACAAATCACTTTTCTTTCTTATTCGCCACTAACTTTACAAATCGTTGAATTTTTAGTCACCGGTTGTCAGTCTCCATTAACTTCGTCATTTTTTTTATGATGTGGCAAACAAAACTGCTGAGTGGACTGATGGAAAGGCAGAATTAAACAAGTTGACCGCTTAATCATCATCCATACCCCACCCAATTGATAAAACTCTTTTATTTTAAATTTTCTAGTACTTTTTTATCCTTATTGAGAAAATGTACTTTCTTTATGCTCCTCCCTCGCCCAGCCAAGGAAGATGGATTCGAAGAAGAAGCTTTCGGCGGTGGGAGAATGATGACGTCTAGAAGCCAGCTGCAGAGCATGAGTACCAAGGGCTCGTTTGCTTGTTGGATTTCAAAATGAGGATTTTGAGTTTTCAAAACTTTTTGATTTATGATGGATTTGTTGCATTATGGATTTGGAAGAGTACATTGTTTGTGTAGTTTATTCTTGTCATAGATTCATGATGGATTTGTTCACATTTTGCCTTCCATTATCAAATCCCAAATGAAATGTGGGATTTGCAAATACGCGGGGTCCACGGATTTGGATCTAAAAAATGGGTCCAAATCCGTGGCCCCCACGAATTTGTGTAATCCATCACCCAAATCCCACAGGCAAACGATACCCAAGATATTCGGGTTCTCCGACGCGGCTGGGGAGAAAGGATTGGTTGAGGAAGAGGTGGTGGAAGAAGAAGAAGAAGATTCGGAGATGGCGAGCAGTGAAGGGGGCCCGATGACCTGACAGTTTTTCCCGATGGAGGAACAGAAATGGTGGGCCCATCATCGACCTTTGTCAGCGAAAGATGTAGAAAGGTAGAATTGGAGTTGATCGAAAGATGGAAAGGGCAAACTCGATTAGGGATTTTGACCAAGCTCCTCGATTGTCAAAATCTGACTCTATCAAAACGACACGTTCCAAGTTCGTTTGATATGAGTTGATTATCTCGGTGGGCCTCTGAAGAGAAGCCCAAAGAACTGAGCACACAGCGACTGGGCTGGAGACTCAAATCAAGCCCGAACTCTGAAGCTGAGAAGGCAGAAGCAAGTCTCCTTCTTCGCAGTTTCAGAAAGAACAGAAACAGGGGAAAAGAAAAACAGAGGAAGCAGAGATCGAGCAAGCAAAGCAACAACAGAGAATGAAAGACACAGCGAGATTTTAACGAGGTTCACCACAGGGCTACTCCTCGTCCCGGAATAGTAGACACTATTCCGAGAGACACTTTTGATTTTCTGGTTTTTAGAAAGGAAAGGAAAGAAGAAGACTCAGTTACAGACTCAATGTGAAAATCAAAAGCTATGGAGACTAGGACCGAATTCTCGCAGGAATTCACTTACACCTTTGATTGACTGAACCTATTCCTCAGTAAATCAAAGCCACTGACAATTCCCCAACCCTTTGCCCTCTTCCACAAAGAGTTCCAGAACCATATGAAATTCAGACTATGAACTTCCTTTTAAAAGGCTTCAGGACAGGAGCCGTTGAACTTCTATCATTCAAATATTTCCAGCAAAGGAAGGTCTGAAGATTTGCCAAACTGCTCCCCCTTGATTGCAGCTTCAATCGCCTATGATTTCTCTAAATTTGCCAGAGCAATCTCGTGACTTGATCTGATTGAGATATCTTGATCCAACAATCTCCCCCTAAGTCAGAGATTGCTGATTTGCCTCTTGAACCCTGCAAAACAAGTATACCTTTCCCAGAGCAAGACAAAAACCACAAGCAGGAAGTCCAAGCAAGAACAATTTAAAATCCAGCTGGTAAGTACATCCAGCAAACCAGTAGTTGAACAAAGATAAATAACTAGCTGGAGAAAACACGCCCAGCAAACCAGTCTAGATAAGTAGGAAAGACCAACAAGTTCAACCAGCTAAGACAGAACCATCCAGACAATAAATAACAATAACCAAGTCACTCGGAATAATATGCATCCCTGAGATCGGCCAGGACCTCTGCCAGGGATGGAGTACTAGAGGAGGAGTCATCTGAATTACTGTTGTCAGAGTTGTCGTTACTGCTGATCCAGTGGACTTCAATTTCAGGGACATCATCTCCTTCGGGCTCAGCAGCTACCACTTCCTCCTTGTCTGGTTCTTCCACCGGTCCGTCGTCATCAGAGCTATCACTATCAGTACTGTCACTATCAGCATCAGCGGCGGCATCATCCTCATCCTCCCCCTCAGCGGCAAGCGCAATCTCGTCGAGAATATCATCAGCAGAGAGATAGACATTGGGAGTAATGATTCGGAAGGGGTCCAAGTAGATTTGCTGGAAGGGATAAAGATGCCCGAACAAAAGATGACAGTGGTCAAGGGGAACGTTGTGAACTGCATGTTGAAGGACCCAAAGATCAAGAGGTGTGACTCGATCCAGAAGAACAGTTCGAGGAAGAAACCTCCTAGTCAACAGATAGTGAAATGTGCGCAGGGATGGAAGAAGGAAAGCAGTAGGCAACGTAAGATAGGCATCTGGCTCGTGACCAGTGAGGAAGACAAATTCCTGAACAATATCAAAGTTGAATAGAGGAAACTAAGAGTCATGTTCCAGAATTTCCCCAAACCTAGGAATATTGAGAAGATGCCTAAGATCTTCGAGGGGAATGGTAACAAGATTGCCATAGATCAGAGTGGTAAAAGTACGAGTGTGGAGCCCAAAAGATCGAAAATTAGAGAAAAATAAACGCACACCTTCTGGGCAGATATGCTCAGGAGTGTCATTGATCAGGAAATCCCTGCCCAGATTGTGAACAAACCCAGTGACATCAAGACCATATTCTATGAGTTCAGCAAAAGGAACATGATGAGTAGGTATGAAAGGACGATGAGCAAAGGAGATGGAGTGGCGATGAGCATTGGCTGGGATGGGATCGTGAAAGAGAGTACCTGTGAATGTTTTGGAGAACCCTAGCACCATAGCTAAGACAACGGGACTTCTAAAAACGAGAAAAGATAACTCCAATAGAGAAACAAGCAGGCTTAAATAGAAAACTGCAGAGTCTAAACAGGAAGAATTAAAAGGGGCAAGACACTTAAAACAGGAAGGTAAATAAACACAGCAACAAAAAAAGAAAAAAAAAGGTACAATCAATTAAGTAACGAGCAATTAAGGAAGATCTTCCAGATTGTCTGGAGATCTCAAACCAATCTCATAACATAGAAAGGTAAATCTGTCTGCATTTAAGGCCTTGGTAAATAAGTCTGCTAGTTGATACTCAGTAGGGATATGACTAATAGTTATGGTATTTTGCTGAACTAAATCCCTAATAAAGTGGTACTTAATTTCAATGTGTGTAGTTCTTGAATGCTGAACCGGATTCTTTGACATACAGATTGCACTTGTGTTATCACATAGAAGAGGTATTGAGTTGATTATCACATTATAGTCCCTAAGTTGGATTTTAAGCCATATAAGCTGGGTACAACAGCTGCCTGCATCAATATATTCTGCCTCAACAGTTGAAAGTGCTACAGCTTCCTGT